CCTCGAGAAAATACCCCTGGACCCTCGCAGCGAGAGCCGTCTGGTTGACAAGTGCCCCGTAACCGTTCAAAAGGCACTGAGCGCATGCTGGCAGACATAACATGGCATAGCCGCCGCTAAGTAATACCCCCCCCCCTCCCGCCGCACCTATTCAACTACATTTGCCCCAAAGAAAACGATTAAGTTGTATAAGTTCAACTGCAATCATTTTGAAGGGATTCCGACGAGAAACCATCTGTTGGAAGACAATTCCGGCCGCTCTACGATGTTCCATTCATGTTCCAAGCCAGAGAGTTCCTCAGGAAGAGGTAAGTTTCAACATTTTGCAGCCAGTATATGGTGAAGGTAGAGATAAGCCTTCTTCTTCCAGGTTGATTGGTAAGAATGTCACGGTGACAGTGGATTATATCCAACCTAAATCCGAACAGTTCCCTGAGAAAACTTGCTGCACGGTAAAAGTTGGAGAGCTTAACATCGCGGAAGCGTTGATTCTCAAGGGACTGAGCAAGGTGGTACGACATCGGTCAGACGACGAAAACAGGTGAATAACTTCTAGTAAAGTGGAGCGACGAAATACTGGTTACTTACTGTCTTACTTTCCCAGATCATCTGAATACGATGCTCTATTGGCCGCAGAAGCAAATGCTGAGAAGAGCAAGAAGGGTTTGTTTGCGGACAAGAGTGCTGACAAGAAAGATACTCTTCGTATCCAAGAGCTTCAAGGAGATCTGGCCAGAAGCAAACAATTCCTACCGTATTTGCAAAGGAGTACGCGGTTACGTTTCTGCCAATTTAACATGCCGTTTTTCCCAGGATTATCAGGACTATTTGCTTTAGAGCCGAAGGTGTTGTCGAGTTTATTGCGAGCGGATCACGACTGAGGATCTACATTCCTAAGGAGACCGTGCTTATAACATTCCTTCTTGGTGGAATCAATTGTCCCAAGGTATGTTCAGTGGTGTTACAGGCATGGCCAATGCAGGCAAAAAAGTGGTTATTCCACCGGGCCGTCGGAACCATTCGCTGATGAGGCGGCTGCTTTCACTCGTCGTCTAGTCCTTCAACATGAAGTAGAAATTGAAGTCGAAGGATTGGACAAGATGGGCAACTTCATTGGATATCTATTCCTCACTCCTGAAGGAGGAGGCAAACCACAGAACCTCTCTGAAGTGCTTCTGGAACAAGGTCTCGCAACGTTGCATTTCACCGCCGAAAGAAGTGCTCACTACAATCAGCTGGTTCTAGCGGAAGAGCGTGCTAAAACTGCAAAGTATGTTGTGGCGTGGTATCTGTTATGCTGCGTTCATACTGTGCGTCAGGTTTTGAGCGTACAAAAGCGTTTCGAGCAATTTCGCGAGTAGTTTTAAGCTCTTCGTGGGCAGTCGCTGAGGCGTACGCTCAAAACGCTGGATCGATACCTATATTTTCCAAGTATAAACGTTGAACGTTGAAAGTTTCAAAGTATGAACGCCGCCTTACTTTTTTTAGTTGTTATTCATTGATGGAATACATTACAGGAGAAACATATGGCAGAACTATAAGGAAGAAGAGGTTGTTCCTGATGAAGTGATTACTCAGCAGAATGATACGGCAGAAAGACGTGTGCAATACAAGAAGGTCGCCGTAACTGATGTCTCAAAGGTATTTTGACTGAATTTTTGGACTTGTTTTTCTGGAACTGGGCTTTGTTGAGTTAGGGTTGGGCCAAGAGAAAAGCAGTAGGGTAGTCTACGTTTTGAGGGCCAACGCATTCCATTTCTATTCGGTATCGAGGGCTGTTGAATGTGTGTACGGCTTGCACAACCTGTCCTGTCCTACTCACCACCACCACCTTCCTGCGTTTTCTCACCTTCCTACCCGGATTCGCAACATATTTTCCAATTTTTCCTCAAGCAACTGCCTTCATGCCGGTGGAGATGTCGTCCTTCAACTTTTTCGGCATCCGTAAAACTTCTATGGAATTCCCTCAACAGACTGCTCTCGAACGGGCGCGGGTGTCGTTACTAATCAACTACTGCTTTTAACTATCGGACGTAGTAGTCGTACGGTAGTCCTGGTAGTCCATGGCAATCAACGGTAGTATCTTGTGACGGTACCTTTCTTTTCTTGCACTACAGGTTGAGATTGTATCCTTTTCTTGCACTACGGGTTGAGATTGTGGAAAATCTTTGTATGAGCTAAAACGAGTCATTTTTAAAGGGTTCATTGAACTTTGCGGCACAACTGGTTGAGGATGGACCGAAGCTGGAGAAGATGACGGCGGACTTCCGTGAATACCTTCGTCAGCATCCACCCATGACTGGTGCATTCAATGCTAAGGTATGCTGAAACTACCGTTGTTTGCTCTCCTGGTTCGTGCTAGGTTTACGAAATTTCGATTTCGAAAAAACGTCGATTTTTAGCGCGGTGACTTGTGTGCGGCACCGTTTTCCGTTGATGGGTTATGGTATCGCGCTAAGGTTGAGAGCATTCGCTCTGGCCAGGCTGAAGTTCTGTTTGTTGATTACGGAAATGTGAGTTGATAAAACTGCAAGGCCTAATAATTTGCCTGAAAATTCTGGTTGTTGTTTTCCAGCGGGAAACAGTGGCAGCTTCCTCTTTGGCACAGCTTCCTCCAGGCTTCGCTTCGTTCCCACCTGGAGCGAAAGAGTATGGAGTTGCCTTGGTGGCGATTCCAAATGATAAGGTAAATTTTAATTTATTCTTTGCCTTTCTTATAGGTTCTTCGCCTAGAATTTCTTTTCTCGACTTTGCAGGAATACGGAATGCAATGCGAAGATGCACTCCAACAATTGTTGTTCTCAGTCCCCACTGCCGAAATCAATGTTGAATACAAAATTGGGTCAACTGAATACTGCCAGGTAGGAATTGATTTGTTAGGTACATTTTTGCTCAACAAAATGTTTTACTCATTCTATTTAGGTGATGATTGAGTGTGCTGGAAAGAAACTTGATGTGGGTAAGACTCTAATCGAAGATGGTTTTGCGTTAGTCGAGAAGAGGAAGGAGAAGAGACTTCAAACGATGGTAATTTTTCTTACTGGTTACTGGTGCTTTTGATTGCTTGAACAATTTTCTGAATCTGCACTTCGACTTGGGGGGGGGGTGTAAAATGGCACATAGCGGAGTCTGTACAGGTCACCTTGTGAAGACCTGTAGATCCTTGCAATTGATGTGGATCACTTGTACCGTCGCGCAACTTCACAAGAGTTTACAGGTTTCACCGAGATGAGACCTGTTAGTTAAAGACACATGGTACGCTCAAACACTGGGGGGCTGGTAGTCTCATACACCCTCAGACACATTGAGGGTGTATGAGACTATCAGCCCCCAGCTGTCGATGTGTCGTGGTCCCCCCGCCCAAAACTGCACGGGTCAGAGTACGGGGCCGTGGGAAAGTCGTAATTCCTTGCTACACCGCCCGTTTCGCAAACTCACGTTTTTACTAACACCGTCGCGCGGCGCGGTCGCGTGCAGCTCTCTTGGCTTTTTGCCAAGTCCTGTAATTGCGCTTTGGAATACAAGTACAACGCAATTTCTTTATGCGGATAACATTTTAGGTGCTGCAAAATAAGAACCGAAGATGATGACTATGGATAGAACTCAAGAGCAGCTCTGCTGCTTCTGCAATATCCCTCGAAGGCCGCGCGTTCCCACAGAACATGACAATAAACATGACAATACAAGAAAAACGCAATTTCTTAACATTTAGCAGTACTCAGCTACAAATCTAAGAGTGGGATGCTTAGGCCGTTTTTATTTATTGATGTTTTGTGGGGAATGTCGCGCGCCGTGCGTAGGGCTGTTGCGAGAACAGCAGTTTGCTTTGAGTTCTAGCCTCTTGTCATCATCTTCAGTTCTTATTTTGCAGCACCTAAAATGTTATCCGCATAAAGAAATTGCGTTGTACTTGTATTCCAAAGCGCAATTACAGGACTTGGCAAAAAGCCAAGAGAGTGCCCGGACACGCGCCGCGCGGACGGTGTTAGCATAAACGTGAGTTTGCGAAATGGGCGGTGTAGCAAGGAATTACGACTTTCCCACGGCCCCGTACTCTGACCCCGTGCAGTTTTGGGCGGGGGGACCACGACACATCGACAGCTGGGGGCTGATAGTCTCATACACCCTCAATGTGTTTGAGGCGTACATATGTCTTTAAGTGAACTAGCAGAAGGAATTAGCAAAATGCTCCTGCCCCTCCCTGGCCGTAGAGCGCTTATAAACTTTTTTTTACTGTATCTACTTTGAATACACCATTTTACAGCTGAGTGAGTACGAGCAGGCAGAACAAAAAGCACGCCGTGAACGCAGGAACATTTGGGAGTTTGGAGATTTCACTGGAAATGACCTCTAAAGTTTTAGATTTCTATCATATTGTTCCCTATATCTTTCCTATTAGATGACGACAGTTTGATGCCCGTATATTTTTGTGTTACTCCGTGGATCATTTCTCAGTCTTCTGCTTGTGATATCGTCGTTTCGTTTTTGTTCTCTGTTTTTTGTAGCGCAATCGCCTCAGAATACAAGGTGATATAAGTGTTTTGTATATTGAGAGCTTTGTTGTTTTCGTATGACATATAAGGGTGTAATATCATGGTTAAGGTCCGTTTCAACAATGGTGGTACTTTCGGGGTCGCAAACTCGTATTCGCTCATGATTGCGTCATTTATTAGGAATACATTAAGTTGTTCACCAATTGATGGCGTACCATACTTGTTTTTGTTTGATTGTTCAATCCGATGTGCTGTTCGAGTTCTGAAATATAAGTTATTACTATGCATCTGATTATTAGTGAAGATTAAGCTGAAAGTCCATGTTCTGTAGTAACGCAGAGGACTGCAAAATACAGCAGAAATCAGCTGAGAGCGTCAGCAATTATCGATAGGCGAGAGTCCAGACGGAAGAGTGGGCAGATAGTGCGGCGGCGTGTGTTCGAGCGCAGAGGCAATGATGATAATCGCACCAGGACTCCGCCTTCCTACTAACACTGCACAGAAGAATTTATCAAATGTAGCAGAGGACTGCTTTTATTTTTATGCGTAGAAAATCCCCGCCTAGTCCATA